CTACAAATGTAACAACAAAATATCTTGTATATAGTCATCTGACTTGTAACTACAAATGTAACAACAAAATATCTTGTATGTAATCATCTGACTTGTAACTCGAAATGTAACAACAAAATATCTTGTATGTAATCATCTGACTTGTAACTCGAAATGTAACAACAAAATATCTTGTATATAGTCATCTGACTTGTAACTACAAATGTAACAACAAAATATCTTGTATATAGTCATCTGACTTGTAACTACAAATGTAACAACAAAATATCTTGTATATAGTCATCTGACTTGTAACTCGAAATGTAACAACAAAATATCCTGTACATAGTCATCTGACTTGTAACTACAAATGTAACAACAAAATATCTTGTATGTAATCATCTGACTTGTAACTACAAATGTAACAACAAAATATCTTGTATGTAATCATCTGACTTGTAAGTAATCATCTGACTTGTAACTACAAATGTAACAACAAAATATCTTGTATATAGTCATCTGATTTGTAACTACAAATGTAACAACAGAATGCCTTGTATGTAATCATCTGATTTGTAACTACAAATGTAACAACAGAATGCCTTGTATGTAATCATCTGACTTGTAACTACAAATGTATCAAACGTAGTTTATCATCTAGTAACAAGAATCTGTGGAAATTAGTCAAAAAGTCATGGCAAAACTATATTCACTATATTACTTTCAACAAATATAACCCTTGTCCTGAAGCATGGACCAGTTTCTCAGTGATGTAGTGGATTAACACACAAAGACAGACAGACAGTTTGTTTGAATAATTGTGGGCCATAACATGTCATAAAATACATATCAAAAAATTTCATTAATACAGAAGAAAATCTGAGCTAGGTTTACTCGCCAGCATTTGGAAACTCAAGGAGTCAGTTGATTTAAATGAATAAAACAAAACTGGCTAAATTTCAGATGGTATCCCACTTATACAGAACTTCTTTGTATCATCCAACCATAGAATTGACTGCTCTCTAGACAGTTAGTGGGATTTATAAGTTTGAAATATCACATTTTGACTCATTAACTCTTTAACCACTAAATTTATAGATAAACAACTCCCCCACTACCAGGTTAAATTTAGATACACACTAAAAAATAAAAAGTTAGTGAAATGCAAATTAGAAATGTAGTATTTATAAATATCATGGTGCGTGTGTAACCTTGTAATTTGATTTACCAAATATCCATCTTAACCATTAGTGTTTGTTTGTTTCTTGGAAATAAACCCAAGAAAATTTCCTTGAAATCAAAGCTACTTTGGTGAACTTATACTTTCTTTGTTACTGCCTTGTGTAGTTTGTTATAGATTTAAAACCATACTTTTTTCTTCTGTGCTGATATTTTTCCAAGATGTTTCATAAATTTTGGTGTGAACGAGTGTTTCCAGAGTAAAGGCTACAAGTTTTAGTTACAAAAGGATTACATTGTTCTAGGTTTTGCTTAAGTTATGGTTTTCTAAACGTGCATTATCTTAATAAGGTTTAATTCAACAGGTCCCAAATCTACTAAAACAACTACAGCTTCGGCACCAATAAGTGTAAGCTCGAAGCAATCGACAGGAAAATCTCAACCACCAGCTCATAAACAAACACTCGTCAAGAAAGGTAAGACTAGAAAGTTTTCAGTTTTCTTTTGTATCTCAATTCTATTTCCTGAATGTCATAAAAACATTAAATTGCACTTCTAACTGTACTTAGCTTTCACTTTAAATAAAAAATTCTTCCAGTAAAAATCTCATGATAGTTTTTTTTTATCTGGTGATATATCAAGAATATTGAGATAAAGTTAGTAAGATTTGATTTAGCATAAAGAGTAATCATTGTTTTCAAGCTTTATCAGTAAGATTCTAACTGTTAATAAAAGTATTTGATAATAATACACATAACCTGTTGTGTAATTTTATTGTTGACTTCTTCTAACTTGTAATAAAAGTACTTAATGATAATAATACATAAAACCTGGAAGTGGTACTGTTATATTGTTTTATTGTAGTCTTGTTCTAACTCCTGATAAAAGTACTTAATAATACACAAAACCTGGAAGTGGTACTGTTATATTGTTTTATTGTAGTCTTGTTCTAACTCCTGATGGTTTTGTGTATTATTAAGTACTTTTTTGGAAGTGGTACTATTATATTGTTTTATTGTAATCTTGTTCTAACTCCTGATAAAAGTACCTAATAATAATACACAAAACCTGGAAGTGATACTGTTATATTGTTTTATAGAACAAGACTACAAACTCCTGAAAAGTACCTAATAATAATACACAACCTGGAAGTGGTACTGTTATATTGTTTTATTGTAGTCGTGTTCTAACTCCTGATAAAAGTACTTAATAATAATACACAAAACCTAGAAGTGATACTGTTATATTGTTTTATTGTAGTCGTGTTCTAACTCCTGATAAAGTACTTAATAATACACAAAACCTGGAAGTGGTACTATTATATTGTTTTATTGTAGTCTTGTTCTAACTCCTGATAAAAGTACTTAATAATAATACTCAAAACCTGGAAGTGATACT